TGTTATTATATTTTTATTTGGATTTGGTACCAAGGATATGCTAACTTCTTGAATAGATTGGGTACTTTTCCCTATTTATCTAGTATCTGATACTATTTAATAGTGATTGGCTATTTCTGTAAAACATTTAAGTCTGGTGTCTTTTACAGGGGCAGATTTTTTTCATTACTGGCTCGATTTCTTTAATAGTAATTTATTTGAATCAGTTTTGAAATTTATATTTTTCTGCTGGACAGTGTGAGAGCTGGAAAGACATAGGTCATATTCTTCAGATGATTACAGCTTAGCAGTAGACACAAGACAAACAGGTAGTTATAAACAACCGATCTACAAAGCAGAATGTTTTATGAGCCCTGAGAAAAACTGTGGCAGTTGTTTATAGAAGGAAAATTGGTTTGGTGTTAGTTTAATTAGTCAGATAATATTCTGTTTCTCCCTTTAGCAAAACTTTAATGCCAATTCATCTTAAAGTTGGTGGTGATACAACTTGTGTGTGGTTTCAAATAACTGTTATCTGCATAATAATAATCTATTACTAGCATCTTGAATACATTTTTAAATGAAAAACTGCCTGCAGTGAATTATCCAAAGCATAAAAGTAAAGCTTAAAGAATTTTCCCAATGCAAACATAGCCATGGGACCAGCATCCATATCAAGAAACAGATTATTGCCATTTTTCTATTTTATACAAGTAGAGTAATATATAAGGACTTTTGGATCTGGCTTTCTTCATTCAGCATTAGGTTTATGAAGTTCATCTATGCTGTAGGTAGTTCCTTCCTAACCTTGATAGTGTTCCAGAGTAGGACTATTGATCCAGCTTACTTCTGACAGACAGTACGCATTTCCGCATGTGGGATATTACAAATAGTGCTGGAGTGTGCATGTTACACTTCCAAGTGGAACTGCTGGGTTATAGAGCACGCTGTTAGCCTTAGCATTCTGGGAAGACATGCTTGGACCTATTCATACTCCTACCAGCAGGGGCTCCATACCTCACTAACTTCATCTTGTCCAGTTAGTCATTCTGTTGGATGTGCAGTGGTACGCATTCTGGTTTTAATTTGCATTTCCCTGGTGACTAGTGAAGTTTTTTTTTTTTTATTTGACAGGTAGAAGTATAGACAGTGAGAGAGAGAGAGAGAGAGAGAGAGAGAGAGAGAGAGAGAGAGAGAGGTCTTCCCTGTTTTTTCACTCCCCAAATGGCCACCACGGCCAGCGCTATGCCGATCTGAAGCCAGGAGCTTCCTCCTGGTCTCCCATGCGGGTGCAGGGGCCCAAGCACCTGGGCCATCCTCCACTGCCCTCCCAGGCCACAACAGAGAGCTGGACTGGAAGAGGAGCAACCAGGACTAGAACCCGGCGCCCATATGGGATGTTGGCGCTGCAGGCGCAGGATTAACCAAGTGAGCCACGGCGCTGGCCCCACTAATGAAGTTTAACACCTTTTCAAATGATTATTGGCCATTAAGATGTGCTCTTTTGTGAAGTTCAAGTTTTGCTCATTTTTCTCACAGGATGTTTGCCTGCTTTCTTACTGATTCCCAGGAATTCTTTGTATATTCTGAACACTAGTCCTTTGTGTCGCTCCCCCTCTTCGTGGAGGAGCAACACAGAACCCTGCCTAGGCTTCATATCCGAGTCACGGCACCATTATGTCGCTCCCCCTCTTCGTGGAGGAACAACACAGGACCCTGCGCTGTTCTTTCGTCTGCTCGGCCCTCCCCGGGTTTGCTGCTGGTTCTTCCCGGGTTGGCTACTATCCCTTCCACCTCCGTGGAAGGGCAGTTCCCCCTGGCCGCATTCCCCACTTCCGCAGGGGAGCCGGCCGGGTCTCTCGGGGGCTGCACGGGTTCCCTTTAGATGTTCCCCATAGATGTTCCTGGTGCATGCCGTCTCTCTCCTCCTTTATAGTCCTCCTCCGCCAATCCCAACTCAGCTGCCCACACGCCGAGTACGCTGCTCTCCTCCAATCAGGAGCAAGTCCTACAGTTTATTAGTTGAACTGGAGGCAGCTGTGCGGAAGCTGTTTACTTCTCTCCCAGCGCCATATTGTGGGAGAGCAGATGCATAGAATAAGTCCTAATTCCAGTAACTCAGTCTAGTCCGGTTTGCTCCCCACACTTTGGATTAAAAAGCTTTGTACCCTGTGGCTTTTTTATGTTCTCCATTTGCCAGCTCCATTTTGCTGATTGTTTTTGCTTCATCCCAGACCAAATGATTCTAAAGCTGTTCAAGCTTTTTGATCAGACAGAAACCCAAATTGTCTGTCAGGGTAAAAGCCACTGCTCTCACCTGCTGTACTTCATTTGCCTTCATTGTTTCTGATGACGAATTTTACCAGATGCATAACTAAGTACTCTTGTTCTGTTTAATGTTCAGATTCTGGCTAACAAGAAGACAACCTTCTTTGGTGGCAGTTCTGTCTCTATGACTGATTACCTCATCTGGCCCTGGTTTGAACGGCTGGAAGGACTGGAGTTAACTGAGTAAGATATTTGAATATTTTGTGTATAATTTAGGATGAAAGTTGGAATTGTGTATATTGACCTTTTTTTTTGAACAAAAGTTGAAATATTTAATACAGCTGGTGTGAGTGCAAAGAGCAGACAGGAGGAGAGTCTTAGTCAACTCAAGGCATGTCAAATCCTTACACTCATTACTCCTTCCCATCCCTGGCGGTCTGGGGATTTATGTGACATGTTTTAAATTTACTCTCCTTCCTGGTTAAAAACTCCTAAGGACGCATATTTTTATACGAGTGTTGTTGCAGGTTTGTATGGCCAATGCTACCTCCCAGTTAGCAGTAACATCCCCACACTACTTCCCAAATTCCTCAAATTTGGCAGCCACCCTGGTTTACTCCCACTTCTTAGAGCTACTCAGGGTTACTTTTGGTTACAAGGTAGCAGTAGATTAATTAATATATAACATTCTTGGTGTCAAGTTCTCTTTAAAAATATTATCAGGCCAGCGCCGCAGCTCACTAGGCTAATCCTTCGCCTTGTGGCGCCGGCACACCGGGTTCTAGTCCCGGTTGGGGCGCCGGATTCTGTCTCGGTTGCCCCTCTTCCAGGCCAGCTCTCTGCTGTGGTCAGGGAGTGCAATGGAGGATGGCCCAAGTACTTGGGCCCTGCACCCCATGGGAGACCAGGATAAGTACCTGGCTCCTGCTATCGGATCAGTGTGGTGCGCCGGCCGCAGCGCACCGGCCACGGCGGCCATTGGAGGGTGAACCAATGGCAAAGGAAGACCTTTCTCTCTGTCTCTCTCTCACTGTCCACTCTGCCTGTCAAAAAAAAAAAAAAAAATTATCAGTCTCAGCTTGGCCCAAGTTCTCATGCTAGCTGAGCAAGTCACTTCACCTGAAGTCTCAGATTCCTTTCCTGTAAAACAAAGACCTCCACAATATCTTTCAAATCTAATATTATATAACCACATGCGTTTTAAGGAATTACTGTTAAATTCTTTAAAATGTTGGGGGAGGGGCCGGCACCGTGGCTCACTTGGTTAATCCTCTACCTGCGGCACCGGCATCCCATATGGGCACCAGGTTCTAGTCGTGGTTGCTCCTCTTCCAGTCCAGCTCTCTGTTGTGGCCCGGGAGGGCAGTGGAGGATGGCCCAGGTGCTTGGGCCCCTGCACCCGCATGGGAGACCAGGAGGAAGCACCTGGCTCCTGGCTTTGGATCGGCATAGCTCCAGCCATAGCAGCCATTTGGGGGTGAACCAATGGAAGGAAGACCTTTCTCTCTTTCTCACTGTCTAACTCTGTCAAATAAATTAAAATAAATAAATAAATAAATAAAAGGTTGGGGGAAACACATCAGCACTTCAGTGATGTGATGATATATGAGAGATTACGATGCCATTCTTAGCATAACCTAGCTCACACCTTTGATTCTCTCCTCCTCCTGCAGTTGTCTGGACCACACCCCCAAACTCAAGCTCTGGATGGCAGCCATGAAGAAAGATCCCACAGCAGCAGCACTCCTTCTTAACGTGAATCACCAGCGCCATTTCTTAGAGCTGTACTTAAAGAACAGCCATGAGGCCTGCGACTATGGGCTCTGAAGGAGGCAGGAGGCAGGAGGCAGCAACAGAGCTGTAGCTGATGTTTCCCTTGACTAATAAAAGAACAACAACGCTTTTATTTTACCAAGTGTGCTCACCTTTCATTGGTTTGTCTTCTCTGACGGACCTGACATAGCCTCACTGTGGTGTCTCCTCCAAGCCTGCCTTTTCTTGCATTCGGATGCTCACATGACTGAAGCTTTCTTCACAGTCTATGCTGAAGCCCCCAAACCATCTACTCTAAAGTTCAGTCTGGATTTCTAACCTCTCCCAGGACATTTCCACCTAGACACCTGTTGGCATGTCAAGGGATGCCTTCTCAAGGGTCTTGTCTCACGGTTTCTGAATTGCGAAACTTTCAATGCCTCATTTTTTCCACCATCAACTTAACTTCCCTCCCTCTCATTCCCGTTGTTACCACCTCAGGCCAGAGGCACATCAGCTGGAAGCTCCGTCTCTGGGTGGTCTCTAGGCTTCAGCCCCTCCACATCGTTCCTTCCAAATCCCAAGCTGGCCGCACAGGAGGCGGCCCATGTATATAATTAATCAAGGCCCCGCCAGTCATACAGGCTGGATGAGCAAGAGTTTCTATCCCCGAGATGCAATAATGCCATCTGCCATACAACTCCACAGCCCACTGGGCTTCTGTTTAATTTTAATCTTGAGGAGGTGGGTCCCGGGACCATCCTTTCATTCCACAGATGATGCAGCCAAGGTCCTGAGGCAGAGAGGCCTTAAGATGCCCCAGAAAGATCTGGGGAACATGCCCAGGGCACTGGTCTTAACCTCAGAATTAGGGGGCTGTTGACCCCCGCCCCCTGTAACAGTCTGCTTTTTCTGTACTTATTGTCAAGGTTCCAGTGAGGAAAACTTCTGAATCATCGATTCTTAAACTTTGGGGTGGCTAACAACCACCTGCGTCTCACCGCCGCACTTCTGAGTCAGCGAGTCTGGGTGGGCGCGCGGGGTCTGCTAGGGGAGACCCCCGCCCCGTCGTAATGATGCAGGCGATGAGGGCGGCACCCTGAGGCAGCCGGAAACCGGTTGACTTCACAAACGGCCTCCTGCGGCTCACCGTCGGCTGCCGCCAACGCTCGGCCTGCTGGCGGGCCCATCTCTGCCGCCGTCCGCTTGCCGGGACGGTGGCTCCCGGCGCATTTTCAGTCGGAAGCGGAGCCGGGAGCCAAAGCACTAAAGCCAACAACAATAATCCGCTCCCTCCCGCGCCAGCAGGAACACGTAACGCGGCCGTCTATTGGCTCAGCTCCGCACGGCTTGTCTGACACATCCAAAAGCTTCGAGGATTGGCTGCCGCGACGGGCGCCGCGGCTAGTTGGCGGATAGGGAACCGCGTAGGAAGGGGCGTGCCCCGCCTGGGCCCCGCCTCCCCAAGCTGCCGCCGCTGCTCTCCATCCGGTTCGGTCGGTCGGGCGCCCGGAGGTCTCTCGGGGGCGTCTCTGATTTCACTTCCACCGGGTGGGTCGGTCCGGCCTACGTTGTATTTGACGGGAAGAGGGGTTGAGGTCAATTCTGGTTTGGGGAATTTCCACGAGTTTCGGGGCCCGGAATAGGATTGCCAGAGTTTAATTTTGCCTAGCACTTAATATTCATCGAATAATTTAATATTAAAAAAAAGTACCGGGACAATAATCTAGGAAAAACGAACAGGCTTTTAAGCCGGATGTCGGTCACTGAAGTGGTTCTTTCTTGTGTGATTTGTCCGGAGGTAGGCGAATACCAGCCCAGTGCAAGGGCCGCCACTAGTTATGCTCCAGCACATGTCAGGGCGTTGAACGCACGGGGAGTGTCCTGTCTGAGGGCCGTGCAAACCTTAAATAATAATAAAAATAGTGATAACTAAGGTTGAATGCTTGCTGGGTAAGAGACCCATGCTGAGCATTAAATACAATTCATCCGGTGTCCCAGTAAAACCTCCCAAACTACAAAATGTATTGACACTGTGAGCTCTGGATTACGGATAAGAATCCAGGACATAGAAAATTGTCATTTGCCCAGGGTCACCAGCTGGTTAAGGCCAAACAGGGGCTTCAAGTCCAGCCTGAACTCAGCCCAAGCCTCCTTTATCCTCAATAACTTGGCACTTAGCAGTTGGGCCAGGAGAGAATACTAAATCCGCAGTCCCTGTGGGCAGGTCCTATGTCCTGTGATTCAGACAATCTGGGAGCGATCATGTTTGAAAAAACAGAATGGCGCCTGTCCTAAACATGCAGACTTCCTCATGGCATTTACATTATAGTATGTGTTAGAAGTAATCTAGAGATGATTTAAAGTATATGTGAGGATATGTGTAGGTCATATGCAAATATTACACCATTTTATCTAAGAGTTTTGAGTATCTGAAGAGTTTGGTATCCTTGGGAGTCCTAGAACCAGTCCCCCTAGAATACCAAGAAACCACACTCCTGTTACACCTGGGATTTTTTTTTTTTTTAAGTATTTACTTGAAAGGCAAGAGTTACAGAGAGAAAGGAAGAGAGAAAATCCTCCATCTCTGCTGGTTATCAGCTGGGGCTGAGCCAGACAAAAGCCAGGAGCCTGGAACACCAGCTGAGTCTTCCACGTGGGTGGATGGGCCAATTGCTGCTGCTTTCCTAGGTGCATTAGCTGGGAGCCAGATCAGAAGTCAGCAGCTGGGCCTGGAGCTGGCGGCTTATCCTGCTAGACCACCACTCCGGGTCCCTAGGCCTGGGATTTAACAGGAGGTGTTGATGATGTTCCTTTTCCACGCTCAGTGTGTTCTCTTTGATTTTACAAATACTTGACTTTACTGAGTTCAGAGTCTTGAAAATTCGCCTTTGTTTATTCAAATGTATCAGTTTTTTTTCTCTGATTCTTTGTAAAGGGAAATGGGGCCAGGAATGCAAAATCAAGTACTTAAAAAGAACATCTCCTTTGATCCGGCTTTCCCTGGTGGGCAGATGAAGTTCCTCTGCCGACAGCTTTAGCAATCTCCCTTGCTCTGTTCCTTAGAACAGAGCATTCCCTGTGATCCTCACTTCCTAGAACAGGTCCTGAGTACAGTTACTTTTGAGGGTGGAGCCTTTTCCCTCTCTTCTCTCACTCTTTGAACTTAGTGAATGAAAGTAGAAAATCCAGTAATCTAATCTTCCATGTAGATTAGGCTTCCAGAATATTAAGAGGAGGCCAACGTTTGGCTTAGTGGTTAGGGATGCCTGTGTTTTTGGAGTGCCGGATCCCATACCCAACTCCGGCTCCTGACTCCGGTTTCCTGCTAATGCAGAGCCTGGATCCCTGGCACTCCTGTGGATGACCTGGATTGAGTTCCCTGCTCTTGGTTCCTGGCTTTGGCCTGGCCTAGGGCCATTGTGGATATCTGTGGACTCAGCCAGAAAATGAGAGGCGCGTGCTCTCTCTCTCATTCTCGCTCTTGCTCTCTCTCTCTCTTCCTATCACGTGAAATAAAATATTAAGAGGAATGTTCTCTAGTTTCTGCCACTATTACAAACTGGCATGACAAAAAAGTTTTGAAAAATTACAAAATGTAAATCCCATTTCTTCTTCTCAAAACAGACTGATGTAAATAGAGTGAAAAAAATTGTTTCAGGGTGGCATTCTTTCCTAGAAGGCTTAAGTCATTCATTACCCTTCACCAAAGGTCGCCCCATTTCCAAACAACTGATTATATTTCAGATGGCTGGAAGCCAATTCAGAGTGGGTTTAATATGGCCATATTACATCTTGTTTTGTACTTGTGTTAGTATTAGAGGAATAAACATGAAAAAATAACAGAAGGAACGTTTAAAATGAGGATTTCACAGAGGTACCTCTTGGGTTTTAAAAAGGAAGTGGGAATTAGCTGAAATGTTATAATTAAAATCTTTCTAGGGAAGCTGTGGTGTTCAGTGGTAAGATTAGAAGCACATTACTGAAATGTGGCTTTCATCCCATTTGATTGGCGTTAAACTGGCCCAGTAAGTACTGTGGGTTGCATTTTAATTCCAACCTGCTTGGCAAAGCTGAATTGCTGTACGTTTTCCCTTTATGGATGTGAAACTAATGCACTATGCTGTTAAGCATGTGTTCTTATTCACTTGTGTTTGTCATTACTTTTGGAGTACACTGAGCTCTCACACTGATGACGCCCTGCACCGTGTCATTCCCTACTCTGAGCAAACCTATGGTGCTGTTCACGTTCTCTTTTTACGGGTGAGGAAGGGGAAAGTCAAAGAGGTTACATAACTTGCCTAAGTGCCAAAGCCAGGTCTCAGGTCAGCCCTTCTGGCTCCAGAGTCTGGCTTGAGCATCTGAACGCTCTGTTGCTTCCCTTCAGAGGAAGAATAGTTTTCAGCCCCCTGCTCTTTTCTCCCCGACTATATCGCATAGACTTGCATTTAGGAACTTGACTTCCCACATACATGGAAAATGGGATTAAAAGTGTATTTGGTGCATGCATGTTTTGCACAATTTTTTTTATAACATGCACTTTCTGTAAGCATTTTGAAGAACCCTGGTACATACTTTTAATAAGTATTTTCCAACTCTCAGAATTGGTTTCCTTTAAAAGATGGAGATGAGGAGAAAAAAAAAAAAACCAACTTGGAAATGTGTCCTCTCCTGGGATAGTAGAACTTTCTCATTTACAGGTGGAATTCCCTGTTGGGCTGCTATAAATTCATTGTAATAGAGACCAAAGTTGAGCAACCTAAGACAATTGGGCTAATCCAGCCAACTGCTGATTTTTTTTAAAAGATGATTTATTTGAAAAGCAGAGTTTCAGAGAGGCAGAAGCATGGCGGCGGGGAGGGGGGGGGTTGTCCACACACTGCCTCATTCCCCAAATGGCCGCAACACCTAGAGCTGGGCCAATCCAAAGCCAGGAGCCAGGAGCTTCTTCTGGGTCTCCCATTTGGGTGCAGGAGCCAAGCACTTGGGCCATTTTCTACTGCCTTCTCAGGCCATCAGAGGGAAGCTGGATGGGAAGTGGAGCAGCTGGGACTTGAACTGGCACCCATATAGGATGCTGGTATCACAGGTGAAGGCTTAACCCACCTATACCACAGCACTGGCCCATAACTGCTGATCTTTGTATAGTCCAAGAACTAATAATTTTTTTAACATTTTTAATGGCCAAAAAGAATAAGAATCATAATTTATGGTGTGAAAATTATGTGAAATTCACCAAGGGAGGCCTACTGTAAACAGTGGACTTTGGGTGAACATGTAAATATAGTTTTATCCATTGCAATAAGTGTAGCACTCTGGTAGGGATGTTGATAGTGGGAGAGGCTATGCATGGGTGGGGTGGGCAGGGATATACGGGCAGTTTCTGTATTGTCTTAATTTTCATATGACCCTAAAACTACTGTAGCAGTAAAGGTTATTAAAAATATATGAAATGCAAATTCAGCATCCACATATGAAGTTTCATTGGAATGGAGCCACATCCATTCGTTTGTATATTATCTATGGCATTTTTACTTCATGAGGGTAGAGTTGAGTAGTTGAGACCAGATGACCCAAAAGACCTAAAATATTTACTATCTAGAAATAATTTTGCTGGCAGCTGAGTCCACTGTGTCTGGTATAGACTAAGGTACTGGTTGAGGATGTTGCCCTTGGAGCCTCCCTTTCAGGGTTCCTAATCCCCCCTTTTCTACCTACTAGTTGCAAGGCTTTTTTTTTTACATTTATTCATTTATTTTTTAAGGAATACACATTTCATAAATATAACTTCAGGAATATAGTTATTTTTCCCACCATACCCACCTTCCCACCCATACTCCCATCCCTCCTCCTCCTCCCGCTCCCCTTGCCAGTTCCATTCTTCAGTAAGAGTCATTTTCAATTAACTTTGTACACAGAAGACCAACTCTATACTAAGTAAAGGTTTCAACAATTTGTACACATACGCACACACACAAACTGTTTGAGAACTAGTTTTACAATTAACTCTCATAACTCCTTGAGGACAGAGGTCCTGCATGGGGAGTTAGTGCACAGTGACTCCTGTTGTTAATTTAACAATTAACACTCTTTTTTTTTTTTTTTTTTTTTGACAGGCAGAGTTAGACAATGAGAGAGAGAGATAGCGAGAAAGGTCTTCCTTCCATTGGTTCACTCCCCTAATGGCTTCTATGGTCGGCGCTGTGCCGATCCGAAGCCAGGAGCCGGGTGCTTTCTCCCGGTCTCCCATGCGGGTGCAGGGGCCCAAGCACTTGGGTCATCCTCCACTGCCCATCCAGGCCACAGCAGAGAGCTGGACTGGAAGAGGAGCAACCGGGACTAGTACCCAGCACCCCATCCGGGACTAGAACCTGGGGTGCCAGCGCTGTAGGCAGAGGATTAGCCAACTGAGCCACGGCACCGTAACTTTTTCCCTCCCTATGTGCTATAGCATGAAAATGGTTGGATTGCTTTGAAAAGCAAAAGCAAAAATCTATACTCATACACAGGTTGTGGCTGACTGTCTTATTTGTGATGCAAGAGGGAGCGCTTGGAAGGGAAGGAGACAGCATTAACCTCATCCATCATTATGGTCCCCTAAATGCAGTGTTGGAGTTTTCCCCGTTCTTCCTGGGTTCTTGGGGCCACACGTCCGATTTGGGGTTGTCTTTGTGTCCACCCCTCCTACTGGGTCAAGTTGTCCCAATTAACACTCTTTTGTATGATGTCAGAGACCACTTAAACTCTTGACATAAGCTGCCGCATCTTATGGAAGCCTTTTGAATCCACAAACTCTGTCAATATTTAGACAAAGCCATAAGCAGAGTGCAAATTCTCTCCTTTTACAGAAAAATACATCTTTCTTTGATGTCTACTTCTTTCTGCTGGGGTCTCACTCACAGAGATTGTTCATGTAGAACATTTTTTGCCACAATGTCTTGGCTTTCCATGCCTGAAATGCTCTCACAGTCTTTTCAGCTAGACCAGGAAGCCTAAAGGGCTGATTCTGAGGTCAGAGTATTATAGCGATTGCCATTCTATAAGTATGCTGTGTGGACTGTTTCCCGTGTGTGAACATTCTCTCCTTTTTAATTCTATTACTATTACCAGAATTTGATCATATCTATATGATCACTTTAACACTTAATCCTATCTATATGTTCACTTTAATGCTTAATATGAACATTTTTGACAGATGTTAAACCTTGTTAGCCTCAATTTAGTCATTTTTAAAAATGAGATAATAATGGAATATTTATAGGACCATTTTAAGGACTAAATGGGTTAATGCATATAACGTACCAAGTATATGTTAGCAATAATTTCATTTGTAGATCTCTGCATTGCTTTTATGATCTAACTTTCAGAATCTGCGTGTATTTTTTTTCAGCTACCTGAACTCTGTTTTCTTGGTGGGAGGGATATATTTTTCTGCTCAGTCCTTACCCACCAGGACTTCTAACATGACATGATTATGACCCTGGCTTCTGTTCTAACACCCACTTTGTCCTCCCTGAACTAAATTAGCTCTAGAATAGTGTTTATTCTATTATCTCCAGAAATGAAAAGGGATCAGAAATCAATTTGTATTTTCTAAGAAGTTTATTTTTTTAATTTTTTAAAAGATGTATTTATTTATTTGAAAGTCAAAGTTACAAAGAGAGAGAAGGAGAGGCAGAGAGAGAGAGGGAGAGGGAGAGGGAGAGGGAGAGGGAGAGGGAGGTCTTCCATCTGCTGGTTCACTCCCCAGTTGGCCGCAACAGCCAGAGCTGTGCCAATCTGAAGCCAGGAGCAAGGAGCTTTTTCCAGGTCTCTCATGTGGATGCAGGGGCCCAAGGACTTGGGCCATCTTCCACTGCTTTCCTAGGCCATAGCAGAGAGCTGGATCAGAAGTGGAGCAGCCAGGTCTTGAACTGGCACCCATATGGGTTGTCAGCACTTCAGGTGGTGGCTTTACCCACTATGCCACAGCACTGGCCCCATCAATTTGTATTTTCTAACATAAGATTTCTTGCTGACATCTGTATTTTTTTCAGAGAACATTTGTGGAAACATTTCTGGCATTCATTAATTAGAATGCAACAACATGTGCTGTGTTATTATCTAAGTTTATCTCTCATGAAATCACGGAAAGATTTAGAAATAAAATGTAGTTCAGTCACTTTCTAAAGGTTTTTCTTTTTTAAAAAATTTATTATTTTTAAGATTTATTTTTTATTTATTTGAAAGAGTTACAGAGAGAGGTAGAGACAGAGAGAGAGAGAGAGGTCTTCCATCTGCTGGTTCACTCCCTTGATAGCTGCAATGGCTGGAACTGCATCGATCTGAAGCCAGGAGCCAGGAGCTTCTTCCTGGTCTCCGATGTGGGTACAGGGGCACAAGGACTTGGGCCATCTTTCACTGCTTTCCCATCTTTCCACTGCTTTGCCATAGCAGAGAGCTGGATCGGAAGAGGAGCAGCCAGGACTAGAACCGGTGCGCATATGGGATGCCGGCACTTCAGGCCAGGGCTTTAACCCGCTGTGCCACAGTGCCAGCCCCTCTAAAGATTTTTCAAAGATTCTTTTCGGAAGTGGAAAAGATGTTCACAGTATGAATCAGCATTCTGGATATGTTGGAATTCAAAAGGCCGGAAGCTGCCCATGCATAAACCTCATGACTAGGTTCTATTGTTTTAATAAAATATATTTAGAATCAGCTAACATTTGGTGAGCAGCATTGCATGCTGTCCTTTCATGGACCTAACATTGTTTCCTGTCCACACTCTTAGACCAACTTTGGAGGTCAAGACTGTGAGTTCATCTTTGGACTTTAAAAGTTCTTCGAGCTTACTAGCTAGAAAATTGGGGCAAATAATTTCTTTTTTCTGAAGCTGTTTTCCATTTTGCAAAATAGGAATAATAGTAACTGCTTAGCTAAGCAGGAATCAAATAAGGAAGCCCATGGAAATACTTTAGTCACTGTGAACGGGACACATGGTACTTGTCCTCCCTTTGCGACCTGTCAGTGTCATAAAATGGATGCACAAGCAATTCCCACATCAGCTCACTCCTGGAAAGTTAAAGGAATTCTTTTGCCTCCTGTTGAAAATCAGAAACTCAGCTTATCGGTGTCAGGGCCAAGGCCAGCTACCTCCTTGACTTCAAGTAGACAGAGGAGCTGTGCACGTGGCCCTGTATCATCGAGGTAGTGGCACTGTGTCCTGAGCAACCATAGTTGCCTCAGAAATTTAGACTGGGATGTGGGAAAAACTCACAAATCAGTCGTAGCCCCTGGTCTCTCGTTCTTATTCACCACCAGTTTTGCAGAGCTTGTGTAAAGCCTCATAAAGTGGGCCAGGGCTAGAGTGAGGCAAGTGAGGTGTGTGTGGGGCACAAAATTGAAGGCGATGCTCACTCCTTGAATCAGGGATCAAGTTCTCAACACCAATAACTTTTCCTTCCCTCCCTATGTGCTATAGCATGAAAATGGTTGGATTGCTTTGAAAAGCAAAAGCAAAAATCTATAGTCATACACAGGTTGTGGCCGACTGTCTTATTTGTGATGCAAGAGGGAGGGCTTGGAAGGGAAGGAGACAGCATTAACCTCATCCATCATTATGGTCCCCTAAATGCAGTGTTGGAGTTTTCCCCGTTCTTCCTGGGTTCTTGGGGCCACACGTCCGATTTGGGGTTGTCTTTGTGTCCACCCCTCCTATTGGGCATCTGAAACCGGGGCCATGTTCCCCGGGGGTCAAGTTGCCCCAGATCCTGCCCCAGATCACCTCCCTGCTTCCCAGCCAATCGGTCATACATTGAATTTGGGACAGAAGGGGCGCCAGAGCGCAGCCGATCCCGGATCCTGCGGCCGCTACTGTGAGCTTGGAGTGCCGTGCAGACATCTGGAGGCCATGTCTAAGGATGCGACCAGAACCCTGGGGAAAGGTAAGTGCTCCCAACCCTGGAGACTTCACTCTGGAGCAGGGACCGCCGGCTGGGCACAGAGTGGGGCGCAAGGGCTCCCGTGCAGGAAAGCCTCGTGCAGGTCTCCTCCCTGAGACTCACACAGTGCCTGTCTCCTATCCCCAATCCCTAGCATCCTGGGGCGCGGAGGGGGCTCCTCTCCCCACCCGACTAACCGGCCTCTGTTTCTCTGCACCTCACCCCATGCGCTGCAGGAAGCTGCCCTCCAGGGCCGGTCCCTGAGGGCCTGATCCGCATCTACAGCATGAGGTTCTGCCCCTACTCGCATAGAACACGCCTCGTCCTCAAGGCCAAAGGCATAAGGTGAGAAACAGGTTCCAGGCTGGGGCTAGTCCGGAACGGTGAGCACGGGCTGGGTAGGGGTTTTGGAGGCCTCCTGAAAGCAAATCTCTCTCCAGAGTTGTGTCCATGCGGGAAACTTTTTCACACAACGCAGGTACGAGCTTATGACCTGGTTCTCTCCTGTAAGGTTTGTTCAGCAAGTGCACGGCCAAGGCTACTGAGGCCTCCCTGGCTGCTCCTTGGAGGCCGGAGGCCCTCAGGTCAACTTTGTTCTCTTCTGTCATTACATTTGCTGCATCCAGCATTTCTGAGTTGTTCATTCATCTTTCCCCCATGCATTACTCTCTCACTACCAAATATGTGTGTTCTTGTTGGGTAGGGCCTTTGCCTGACTTATCCACAGGCTAGGAGAAAGCCTGGCATATTGTAGGTGCTCAAAAAATATTTGTTGACTGAATGAACAAGTCATTCCAAACAGAGAGAGAGATGGAGCTGCTGTCAAGAAGTGCCTGAAGGCTTTAACAGACCTGAAAAAATGGGTAGATACCCTTGCAGAAGGAATTTTGCAGGACTGGCTCCTGCAACTCTGCTGCCAGGTGAACTACATTATGTGGCTGAGCTCCGAGGGAAAGGGTGAGGCTGTGTCACTCCATGCCCTTTGACCTCTGACTTGGAGAGTTCATTGTCAGGGTGGCTTCAGAGTTTCAGATTCACATCAGAAACAGAGATCAAAATAGCAACATTATGGAATTCTGCCTTTTTAAGTGTACTTGGCATCTATTTCCAGATTCTTCTCTTTTGCTCAAATCTCATTGGCCCTAAGGTCATCTTTTTTTTTCCAAGGGTAAACAGTAACTTTATGTTTTGATCATTTGGTGACAAATCGGCAGCCTAGAAACCAATGTAAATATTGCTTTAGGGCATGATTTTTTCAACCTTGGCATTTTGGGCCAGATAAATCTTAGGGAGAAGGAAGGGGGCTATCCTGTGCATTGTTGGTATGATAGGAACTCATAAAGTTCATGGAAAATGGAATTAAAAGGTAAAGTTTATTTTGATACAAAATATTTTTGAAATCCATGCAAATATTTTCCATCACATGTATTTTCCCTGAACTTTTTGAAGATCCCTTGTATTCAGCAACATGCCTGGCCTCACCCTCCCCCCCTCCCTTAGATGGCAGCAGAGCCTTCCTCCCCTCTCCCCATGTAATCGTGGTTACCAAAAAAAAAAAAAAAAAAAAAAAAAAAGTCTCCAGACATTGCTGCATGTTCCTTGGAGAGAAGAGAAAAATCCACACCTGGTTGAGAACCACTGCTTTGGGGTTCAAGGAAAATAGACTGAGCAAAGAATGTACCCATTTGTTTCCATTAACCTCTCTGTTTTTAAAGATTTTATTGATTTATCTGAGAGGCAGAGTTACAGACAGCAAAAAGGAGAAACGAGAGAAAAGAATTCCATCCACTTGTCTACTCCCCAAATGGCTACAATGGCTGCAGCTGAGCCAAATCAAAGCCAGGAGCCAGGAGCTTCTTCCAGGTCTCCCATGCAGGTGCAGGGGCCCAAGTGGTTAGGCCATCTTCTACTGCTTTCCCAGGCCATAGCAGAGAGGTGGATTGGAAGAGGAGCAGCTGGGACTAGAACCGATGCCCATATGGATTCACCTACTGTGCCACAGTGCCGGCCCCTCCATTAATCTCTTAAAACACACATGTGTGTGTGTCTAGTAACTTTATGGCTTCAACTTCTAATAATGAATAAGAATTCCAAAGTTATGTGCTGTGCATTAGGCACTGTTCTAAATGTCTTCTACAGATTCACTAATTTGATCACCACAATGATGCCAAGAGATGAGTACAACTGTGATCCCCATTCAATAATAAGAACACTGAGCGCAGAGTCGGGAGGGGCTTGCTAAGGTCACCAGCTACACTGTCCACTTTGGTGCTAGAACTCATGCTCTTCCCTGTTAGCTTTTACCAAATTCTGTTGTGACCTGCACATACCAGATTTGGATTTCCAAGCTTTAAAATATATTAAACTCTTGATTGGCATGGTTAAGAGCCAGCTCTGGGTCAGTCTGCCAGGCTCTGATCCTGTCTGCTACTTAGCAAGAGGTCTGGGTCTAAGATTCAACTGCTTCTTGGCCTTATTTCCTATAAAGTACACCCGCCTTGTGGGGAATCCTGAGGGGCGAACAAGATAAGGGATGGAAAACCACCAAGTCTGTCAGTGCAGCAACAAACACAAGGAGGTTGCATGATTTCAAAACAAACAAAAGAGCCTACTATAATTGCAAATTTTAAATTTATAGACGGATCCCTTCTGCCTCTGCCCACATACATGCCTCATTTTTGTTTTCTTGTTTCCCCTTGGCTTTTCAAGACACGAAGTTATCAACATTAACCTGAAAAACAAGCCTGAATGGTACTACACAAAGCATCCTTACGGCCAAATTCCAGTCTTGGAGAACAGCCAGTGTCAACTGATCTATGAATCGGTCATCGCCTGTGAGTACCTGGACGACGCGTATCCGGGAAGGAAGCTGTTTCCGTACGACCCTTACGAACGAGCTCGACAAAAGATGTTGCTGGAGCTGTTCTGTAAGGTACAGTGAATGGTACAAGGCCGCCCCCCTCGCTTTCGCGTTGTGTGTCTTCCCCAACCTTCACTGACGCTATTTCGTTGTATTATCATGTGAGTCTCAGCAGAACAAGTTGGGTACAATTAGAGTATGCCCTCTGATAGTAAAACTGCAAGACTTAATTAACTGCATTGAATTCAGCTAGCATGCTGGGGAGGAACGGGAATGATCAGGTGACTTGCAGTAGGAGGACTGAAAGAACTGCAGCCTGGCGCTCCCATGCTTCAGGCGAAATATATTGGAGTGAGAAGATTATGCAGAAAAGGGGACTGCCCATGGTGTGGGGCCAGAGCGCCAGGAAATGTGAGTGATACAGGAAAGGAGGCAGCTGTTGAAGATGGGAGAAAAAGAGATGGAGAACTGCTAATGTAGTTCCCGTTGAAAAGAAAGAAAAATAACTCAATGAGATTAACGGCTGGCATCTATTAAGCAGCTTAGGAGTTGCCAAGCCCTGTCCTAGGCGCTCTACAGAGGTTAACTAACTGAATCCCGCCTCTCCCCTTTCGGCTGGGCATTGTGACTGTATCCATTTTTCACATGAGAACACTGAGGCTTAGAGAGCTTAAGTACCCCCCCCCCACACACACACACATACACATACACACAAGAATGCACAACAGCTGATCAAGGAAGGAGCACGGGAGAAGCCCTGTGAGAGCACCTTGTTCTCCAGGGTGCTGTGAGGAGGGGATTTTGGAAGCACAGAGATGACCGGGGCAGCCTTTGCAGGGAGCAGGGACTGCTCTGTTTGTGGGTTTGGGCCTTTTTCATTGGCACTGAAGAGCTTTGCTGCATTTCTACGCAGAGCAGAAGCATGGTGTTCTCCACTAAGACCCTGTGTCCTCTGATTAGGTCCCACATCTAACTAAGGAGTGTCTGGTGGCCTTGAGATGTGGGAGGGAATGCAGCGATCTGAAGACAGCCCTGCGTCAGGAATTCTGCAACTTGGAAGAGGTACACACAGGGGCCCCTCCCTTCAGGTCAGGCGCAGTGAAGGAGGCCATGCAGGGCCACCTAGTCTGGTCCCTCTGACACCTGCTCTCAAGGGCTTATTCTTTCCGCCAGGCTTTGCTAAGTCCAGCTTTGGGTCGTTGGATTATAGCTTGTGGATGCGTGCCCTCCACGACCTGCCCTGGAGCTCTGCTTGAAAACCTGCCGGGGAGCTGGGGAGGAGATGCCCTGAATGGCTTGCTCTCTCCTGGTCACTCAGTCCCCTGAGTGTCTCTGCCTGGCTTCTGTAGCTTCTGCCCGAGAAGCATGATCTGTACTGGCTGGGGTTGTGTTCGGCTGCTAGTAAAAGGAACCTAACTGCTATAAATGCGTCTGATAAGGGCTTGTTCTCTCATGCTAAAATGCCAGAGGTAGGCAATTCAGGCCTGTCTTGATGGCTTCTTTGTGAGCTTAACAGGGACTGGGGCTCATTCTCTTTCTCAGCCCTGTCCTCAGTAATGTAATGCTTTCGTCCCCAAAATGACAAGATAGCTGCCAAAACGGCAGCCGTTACACCCAGGTTCCAGGCTCTGGATAGGAGAAGAGAAAGCAAGCAGATGGCAAATGGGATGCTTCCCTAAAAGGGCTTTTCCAAAACCCTAATCCATGACTACTGGTATCTCATTGGCCAGAACTTAATGTGCAGGGTTGTAGCTGTATCAGGGGAGGCAAAGAAATTTAGTCCAGATAAAATCAGGATCCTGTAATTGAGGAAGCAAATTTAGGTGGTGGACAAGGAGCAGTCTCTCATTGGCCTGCCAGCACTGGAGCTTCTTATCCCTTCCTTCTAGAATAATATGGGAGGTGGTTCCTGAACTTTCTTTATCTTTGTCTCAGAAATTGATGAATTCCCTTTATGGGTGGGTTGTCCCTCTGTTGGCAGCCAGAGAATGCTATTTTTAACTTCTTAAAGGGAGGCTGGTTATTAATAGTGTTCCATTTGACCTTTATCAAGTGGAAGCAGATTGGGCTTATTTACACTTCAGTTGCTGCCTTAGATTTGAACAGTTGCGGTATTTACAGATGATGAATGGTCAAGTGTACGGAATGTTTTGTCCCGCAGCTGTGACCGTGAGAAGGCACTGAGAAGGCAGCGTGATGTGCGGGAAGGAGTCTTGGATCTTAGGCTTGGCTTCCTGGATTCTAGACCCCCTGGGCGAGGGGTGGCCTGGTAGATGGGGACAGATGCCCTTCCTCCAGACCAGTACTGCCTTTAACCGACGTGTTTAACAAAACAGCTAATGAAACAGCCTTTGGGGAGCGCAGGGGACTGCTGCTTTTATGAACTCTTATGAATAAGGAATTTTTAAAGTCTTTTAGTCTTTTTTTTTTAATGTCCTTAAGCAACTGAACAGGCTGCTTTCTCACAGATGAAAAATCCCCTGTGAGGGCAGGAAGCTGGGAAACTAGCAATTCTTTGACTTCAAGGATAATTGGCAACACGTTTGGATCAGTCCCCCTCCCACCCTGCATCTGAGTGATGGGCAGATTGCTAAGGAAGCATAGACTAGTACGGAGGAGGCACAGTTCTGGGTCAGTTAGGGCAAGTGGACTGGTACTCGGTGCCATGCCTTGCACCGTGGCTACTTGGCCTGCACCATCTCACTTAATCCTTGCAGCAGCCTTTCCAGGGAAATGGAACTGGATCTACTTTGCACATCCAAGTGTCCTCTCCAGGCAGGCTCTGTATTCTAGGTATCAAGACAACAAAAATCAAAGAACTTCAAGGGCTCCAAGCCTAGAGGAGGAGATGGACTGATAAAGCCGCTTAAACCCCATGAGGGAAGATCTCTCTGCGGCTTTGTAGACCCTGCTTGAGACGCCATGTTGGAGAGGCTGGGTTTGAGTCCTTGCTCTGTTTCTGAGCCTAGGCTCCTTTTCAGTTTGCACCCTAGGAGGCAAGCAAATGATGGCTCGAGTATGTGGGTCCTTGCCACCAGTGTGGGAGACCTGGAGTGAGTTTCTGGCTCCTGGTTACAGCCTGGCCCAACCCTGGCTGTTGCAGGCATTTGGGGATAAACCAGCAGATGGAAGATCTCTCTGTGTCTCTGTCTCTGAAATATTTATAACTAAATAAAATATAAACCTCAGTGTGTTGAGTGCCAGGCTGGAGACCTGCACAACAGGGGCTCGTGGAGATTGAGGGTGGATGATGCCTGTACTGCCTCTCTGAGGATGAGTTAGAGGCCAGGGTGGACCAGAATTGGACACTACGTGCTTCATCCAGTGTGCCGAGGAGTTTGTGTTCTCTGCCAAAGTTGATGGGGTGTGACCAAAGCCAGCAGGTAGGAGAGTGGTTTGCGCCCAGCCTTATCACCTGCTCAGCCCAGTAACAGTGTGGGGCAGGAAGAGGCTGACAGAGGGATGGGAGGGACACAAAGAATCACCCTAAGGAGGGCTGCAGAGGGCATTTGGTTGGGGGAGATTGTCAGGAACTAAGATGAGCCGGGGGCTGGTGGAGAGGTAGGAGTGCTGGGAGGTGGTGGGTGCTGGGTTTGTGCCCATAACTGTGACACTTTGCACTGAGCAGGAGTTCAAGGGCCGATCCCTGTTGACTTTGAGGTGCTGATGGGTCATCATGTGGAGCCAGAACCTAGGAGAGGAACGCATGGCTTACATTAGACCTAGGGAATGGCCAAGAGCTCTACCCACAGGGATCAGGGATACAATCAGGGGTGCAATTATAAATGTTAAGCAGTCAACTCTCTCTGAAAAAGGAAAAGTTGTGATTAGTAGCATTTGCTGATTTCATGGGTCGCAGTACTCCCACCAAAGCCGACTTGGAAGCCAGCAGTGTGGTCCATCGAAGCTCCAAGATGGGAAGAGAGGCAGGCGGTTGGCCAGCTGGAGTACAGTAGGGAGCTTCAGTACAGAGCTCTGGGGACAGGTGCCGCTTCCCAGCCCAGGTGGAGGAGGCTTTCCCCCAGGCTAGTTAAGGACCTCTGAGTGTTCAGCATTGTCACAACAGGTGTGAGCCTGGTTATTGTCTCCCAGAATGTTAGCAACGATTCTGACTGCAATGTAGGCAGTGTCAGAGTCTGCAACCCATGACCAGTGGACTAATTACTTGATTTATTTTTCTCTCTTTTTTTTTTTTTGGATTTATTTCTCTTACTATGAATATACTAACTCGAGATTCTATCAAAATTAAAACTTGGCAGAATAATTCTAATAGCAATGACCCCCTGACATATGCAACTCTTTTGCATGGTTTTGTATAATAAGAATTTTGTGTGAACTAAGACTCCATTAAATACACATGGTCTCTGAGTGATAAGTCAAGATTTCAGTGTGGTGTCTGCCATGGTTAATGCCACTCAAAAAGATTAGTTTACCTTTTGAAGGCTTAAACTTTAACTGTCCCCCCTATTTTTTAAAAATAATGCCCTATTTGACTTTGAAACTTTTTTTCTCTAGAATTTCCAGTTTCATCAAAATTGAAGATTTATTGTGCTTATGGTGTAACCACCTTGCTCTCTACTATTTCTGAGGTATTTTAGTGCTGCTTTTATGATCAGACCAGCAGCCTGCCCGCTTGCTTTCCTGGACAGCGGCGTGAGTTTTAAAACCATTGGGTTGCCCTAGTCTAATCACGTTTTAAATCTGCCTTCAAACATTTTTATGCGTTGCTGAATCATTACTCTAAACTGCACACAGACATTACCTTTGTTCTTTTTTTTTTTTTTTTTTTTTGACAGGCAGAGTGGACAGTGAGAGAGAGAGAGACAGAGAGAAAGGTCTTCCTTTTGCCGTTGGTTCACCTCCCAATGGCTGCTGCGGCGGGCGCATCGCACTGATCCGAAGGCAGGAGCCAGGTGCTTCTCCTGGTCTCCCATGCGGGTGCAGGGCCCAAGCACTTGGGCCATCCTCCACTGCACTCCCTGGCCACAGCAGAGAGCTGGCCTGGAAGAGGGGCAACCAGGACAGAATCCGGTGCCCCGACCGGGACTAGAACCCGGTGTGCCGGCGCCACAAGGCACAGGATTAGCCTATTGAGCCACGATGCCAGCCACCTTTGTTCTTTTTTTAATGCTGCAATTGGCTTTTCTGTTCTAAAATAGCGCTAGAGCCAGGTGTGTTTTCTCTTGGTGGTTCTGAATGTGGCAGGATCTTTCTGTGGCTCTTTTTGTTGTTGTTGTTCTTTATTTATTTATTTATTTTTTGCCAGTGCCTTCATCCAAAATGTTTTCACAGTGGAACTGGTCAGATGAAGGCTCTGTGCAGTGAACAATGAAATTTGGTTTGATGTCTTGCGTGCTCTTTGATTTTTGCTCTGATTCAGTGTTCCTGTGCTTGTGAATTGGTTTTGTGTTCTGGCGATGCTGGTCCCGTCACAGTCATCATTGAGTTCATAAAGGAGAGCGAGGAGAGATGACATAAAGAATCCCGAGGCAGCACTGAGAGATGAGGCCTGCCCAGAAACTGAAGCCTTCACTCTTGGTGGCCACAGGCTGCTCTGTGCTTTTGCTTCGTGAGTTCATTGACCTGCTTTACTCTGCGTTTCCGTGTGCGAATCCCACATTGCTGGATGTGATTGCATGCCTTCTGTGTTAGCAGTTGGCTTGAGGCTGAATTTGCATCACTCAGGAGCTTCTATAGTTAAATGCGTTCTTGGTTCTACATTTCACTTCTAGGCAAGTTTTTTCAATTTGTGTTATTTATTTACTTGAAAAGGATGGAGGGAAACAGAGAGATTTCCCATCTCTTGGTTCACTTTCCAAATGCCTACAAGGGCCAGGGCTGGCTGCCCCAGGGGGAAGCCAGGAGCCAGGAACTCAGTCCAGGTCTCCTACATGAGTGGCAGGACCCAACTACTTGAGCCATCACCACTGCCTCCCAGGGTGCACATTAGCAGGAGGCTGGAATCGGGAGCAGAGCCATGAGTTGAATCCACTCTGCTATGTGGTGCAGGTGCCCTGGCCCAGCATCTCGTCCACCAAATGCTTGCCTTGTAGTCTTTTTTT